GGCTAGGCCTGTGAGCCATGGCTGCTGAGCCTGCGCGTCCGGAGCCTGTGCTCTGCAAAGGGAGAGGCCACAGCAGTGAGAGGCCCACGTACCGCAAAACAAATAAATAAATAAATAAAATAAAAGTGATTTCTGTCTCTTTATTGCTATTATCTATTTGGTGAAACATTGTTGTCCTACTTTTCCTTAATTTTTTAAACATGGTGTCCTTCAGTTCTTTGAACATATTTATAAAAGCTGATTTAAAGTCTGCCTACTAAGTTGAACATCTGAGTATCCTCAAGGTTAGTTTCTTTGGATTGTTTTGTTTCCTGTATATAGGCTATATTTCCCTGCTTCTTTGCATATCTCATAGTACTTGTTGAAAACTGGACATACTAGACATATATTTCAGTAACTTTGAAATCCAGTCATTCTTCCCTTCCTACTTACTGTTTGTTGTTGTACTTTTTTTGTTGCTGGAGGTTAGATTTTTTGTCGTTGTTTAGTAACTTTCCTGGACCAGTTCTGTAGTGTTTGTATTTCCTATAGTATGAAATCTCTGTTTGTTTCAATTTCGTTTAATTTGTAGTCGTCTTTCTAGGTGTCATTTCTGTATCAGCATAGCTCTCTGTGCTCATTCTTGACTGTTCACACAGCCCTGAACATGCACACAGCTTTCCAGATCTAGGAATATGTCAGAGGTTTTCATAGTTCACTGTGGACATGTGAGTCCCTACATTATCTTTTAAAATTTTTGGCTGGACTCTTTTTAGCCCCAGATTATATCACAGCCCTAGGAACCTATACTATTTACCTTCCCTGACTGCTACTGACTTCTGTTATCAACAAGGCCCTGGGAATAAAGCTTTTCCTTGGAGCTCCAAGTCAGGTCGAATCGTGGCAAAGCCTTGGGGACAGGGCTTTTTCTGGAGTTCCAAATCAAGTTAGCCCACTTTGTGTCAGCAAAGCTGCTGGTCTTTATGGGACCATGCCAAGGAGCTGGTAGGGAGATGGGAATATCCCTAAGTTAAAGTGTCATAGACCCCACTTTTCTAATTGAGGCTCAGTAGTTTTCTTCAATAAACACTTTTAATTTGTTGTGTGCCTTTATCTAAATTTCCAGAGTTCTGAAATGGTTGCTTTTGATAATCTTGCCAGAGTTGTCATTGCTTTTTGAGGGGAGAAGATTTACTGAGGTACTCTCTCCACCATCTAGCAGTCTCACTTCTGAATAGTAAATTATATGGCCACTTTACCTAAAGCAGGAGTCCCCAACCCCTGGGCCGTGGACCAGTACCGGGCCGTACAGCAAGAGGTGAGCGGCGGCGGGCTATTGAGCGAAGCTTCATCTGCTGCTGCTGCCTATCACTTGCATTATGGCCTGAACCAGCGCTGGCATTACCGCCTGAACCATCCCTCCCATTGCTTGCATTACAGCCTGAACCACCTTCCCACGCCCCACCCCCCACGTCCATGGAAAAATTGTCTTCCACGAAACCGGTCCCTGGTGCCAAGATTGTTGGGGACCACTGACCTAAAGGGTCAGCCTGCTACTCCGGCCAAGCCAGTTGTTGCCGTGTGTGGGTGTGTTCCCAATGTTGTTATGTGGAATATGGATAGGTTTGTAAAAAAATCCTGAAATTTTTATTTTATAAACTCTTAAAGACATATTTTCTTTGGGTGGGATACAACCACCCCTACCCAAAGAGGTTTCATCACATCCAGGCCACCCACTTTCCGGTATTCATTCCCTCCATCAATTTACATTCACTGAGCACCTGTCACTGGCCTGGAATAGTGTTGGCTGCTACTGAGACAGTGGTAGCAACATGAAGAATGTATAATAAATTAGGCTTAAATTATATTGAGTCAATTAAACCTCATTTCAAATTTTCCTTTTAAGGCTATGCATTGCAAAATATAGTATCTGATGTTTAGTTTTACTTGTCTTTCGATCTGAACTCAGAAAAACTAGGGGAAACCCATTTCTTCAGACTTTTATATTAGGGAAATTCTAAGCAGTAAATATTTTTCAATCACAAGTTTCCATAAAGAACCCAGGCTCATTTTAAAATAAGCTACAGACCCACTAAGATTGGAGTTGAGATAGACTATTGAAAATGACATTGACAAACAGATAATCATGCAAATCTTTGATGAAATGAACCTTTTTGCACACTTCAAAAGCATTACCTTACATCACTGCAAACTTGGCAAGTAATTGCAATGATCAGAGTAGTAATTCATATTCAAATCCTCACCATGTTTGCTCATGGCATTGATTGTCCCAGATGTGCTAGTATTGTAAAAAAGACATTAAGACTAATTTTTAAATATTTAAACTACTGTTTTCACTGAGAGAACTATGGCATTTCCAATTTTTTTTAAAAAGTTCTTTTTGATTTGAAGCTAGTTCTTACAGTACAGGCTAACATTGATTGAAGACTCTGTGCCATCGTAGTTATGCTTTCCCCTTGATGTAGACTCCCCGCTCCTTGCAGTCACCATAATCATTTACATGGGTGCTCTGAAAGGAGCAATCACATCCAGACATGGGGTTCTAGTCAATCAGTGCTTCTCTCTCTCTTCCCTCCCTGCATCCTTGCTCCCTCCTCTCTCTCTCTCTCTGTCTCTCTCTCAGATGGGGAGAGTGCTACTGTGACAGGCCCATTCTATCAAGAGAAGTTTCTAGGATCACAGAAGCACAAAAATCTTATATAAGAAGGAACAGACTTAAAGGTCACGTTTTCAGTGTAAAAAATGTTCTCTAGGGCATTCTTATCATTCAACCACTGCTTAAAGCCAGATTTTCCATTTTAGGTTACATTTTTGTTCTAAATCATCTTCCATCTGGAAGAAACTACATGGGGTTGTGAACCCAGATTTAGAAACTATGAGAACTGCAATCTATTTGCTCCTAATGATTTGAGCCAATAGATTAACCTCTTTGGGTTTTGATATCCTTATTTGTAAAATAGAGATTTCTCATTTACCTTACCTAATTCCCCTAACTTATCACAAAGGAGACATACAGCATTATTCCTAAAGCATTAACATAACAAATAGATTAGAAGATTACAACTTCCTTGTCAATATTCAATGCAGGGTGTTGTATCATTTTAACTTTGATAGTTACTCTCGAAATATCTGAACCCAATTGTTGCATGTAAACATTTAGGTCAACTTTCACCATAGTCTGCCCTAAATAGACCCATCGCTTCCTGAGAAATAGAGAAGTAATACTGATTGCTGACTTATTAGAATATTCTGTCTATTTATGTTGATGTCAAAAGAGATACATTTAAATACTCTGGTTCTAAAAGTAGAGCACTGTAATTTATAATTATTTTCAAAAAATTTTATTCCTTGCCTTGTTGTCATTTTTCCCAAGGTGATTCTTCATTATGTCCTCATTAAAAATAACAAACACTGAAATATCTATAATACAAAATCAGCAGACAACTGATATGACCTTTTTCACTAAATATTCATCAAATTTAAGGCTGAGCAGCATGTAAATGCAGTAGTTATATCTTCAAACTGGAATTCACCTAGCAGGGCTTCCAGGGTTTCCTGTAACAAAAGCTAGAACTTGTCAAGAAAGTTATTGCAACCTGCTATGGAAGATATCATTTCCCATTAGGACTGAGATGTTTAAAGTGAGCATTTGTATGTGTAGCCTTTTAGATCTAACCTATAGTATATTTTTCTCCAAACTGCAATGCAAGGCTAAACTGTAAAGACTGTAAGAGATATATAAATAAACAGTAAATGAAAACAGAAGCTTCATAGTCAGCTTCACGTCTGCCCTTGGTTTTGGCCGATTTTATGCTGTGGTATAATGGAAAGCACAAACATTATTCTACAAATATAGCACCATTTGAAATAGAGAAATGTTTCTTGTGTGAAGTTTTAAGAGCACCCCTTTTGTTGACCTTTACCTTTCTATTATGAGAGCCTGAGTAGCGGCAATGGAACCTCTGTGTATTTAATGAACAAGGGATGCCAAAAATGGGCACCAGTCTTTTTGAAGAATGTAGTAGTTCTGTGCATCTCTCATACTACTCTGATAAAATGTAATACCTGACCTTGAATCCTGTGAAAAGGCTTTTCAGGATAAGTACTTGGAGTTTTCAGTGAATGGATGCTATAGGCATTTATCTGGTTATTCAAGATGAAAGACTTCTGAATATCTGCCTATATGTGTGTCCATGGCCATGACCATGTCTGTGTCCATGAAACATGGTGAGGTGGATGGGTTTTTAAGAATTAGGTACCATGAAGTAGTCAATTTAGGCAGGTTTAATTTTGATACCATTTGCTAATGGTCATAATTTCCCTTTTACAAGTCATAGAGGAGACAGAAACTGTTCCTTTTATACATGTTGTTCCTGGATACTTCTTCTAACAGTAAGTAGCTGGTCCACATGCAGTTCTTTGTATCACTCTTTACAAACAGCAAAAGGAAAGCCATGGGGCTTCCCTGGTGGTGCAGTTGTTGAGAGTCCACCTGCCGATGCGGGGGACACGGGTTCTTGCCCCGGTCCGGGAAGATTCCACATGCCGCGGAGCGGCTAGGCCCGTAAGCCACGGCCGCTGAGCCTGCGCGTCCAGAGCCTGTGCTCCGCAATGGGAGAGGCCACAACAGTGAGAGGCCCACATACTGCAAAAAAAAAAAAAAAAAAAAGGAAAGCCATGGAGAACTGAGTAGTCACTTTGCCCACAGCAAGCACCCACCTTGGGAACACCTTCAGGTAGAGCTCTATCAAGCAGAGACCCGTAGGGCACCGCACCCTGGAGATGTATGAGACGGAAAGAACTTCCAATTCTACCTATTCACCTCACTGTGGTTGAAGTCAGCTTTCTCTCTACATACTACCCAGAAGAATTAGATTGGAACAGAGGTGAGCAGCCAAGTGAGACACTTTTTCCCAAGCAATTTCATGATGGGTTTCCTTTACATCATTTTTAGAAAATGAGTCAATCCACCCACAAAATATGAAATATTTTTCAAAATATGACATTTATCCACAAGATCAGTTTATTTTTTAATGAACATTTAAGGTTCATATACAAATGCTAACAGAGCAATAAGTCAATCATGAAATAACATACAGGGAAATAAAATGGAAAATAACTCATTTACAATTTCTCACCACTGAAGCACTACACACTGGCTGCAGTGAGGTGTGGTCAGTGTTTCAGACAGTGGATGCTCAGGCCAAATGCCAAGACTGTCATCACACTATTTGTTTTAAGATCTTTTCTTTCTTGGTCATTGTTCAGTTAGTGGGGGGAGTCGGAGGGAGAGAAGTAAGTTTCATTCCCACCTCCCCCACAAAAACTGTTTTTAAGCAGTTAAATTTTTCCTTGGGGAAACATTGTATCTGTTAATCTAACATATCATATATTTCTGTTATTAAATGTCTGCATAAATATTTGTTTATTCTATTTCTTAACATAAGATCATGCAGAACTTTTAATTTCAGAACAGTAAGAATTATCAAAGGCAATTAGTTTGTACATAAATGCCCACAGTTTCTTTTTCAATGAAAAATGTGCTCTTTGTGATATTTGCTTCTTGTGAGAGTTGGTCAAGTAGTAATCATGGAGTATTTCCTAAAATATTTATTTGCTGGGAAAATTTGTATGAAATGACATTCAAAGTATAAAAAACATTGTTAGGTAACACTTGGAACAGTTAAAAATATACTTGTTTGTAAACTATCAATGTAAGATACTGAGCATCTGAGTATCAGAGCCATTGTCTCCTGTTTTTCTAGAAAGTGGCTTGATTTATCAATTTGACATCTTTGAAACATCTGACATTATATATAGAAACATCAAGGCAATATTATTTGTACATATTATTAAACATGCAAAAATTTCCTGAAAGATAGTGCCCCAAAAAGGAAGGTCCCCCAAGCTCAACCTCTCCTTGGTGCCCATCACTGAACGTATGGCTGTCTTGGAGTTTGGGAGCATGGCAGCTCATTTTGGAGAGGTAGCCCCTTTAATCACTGGCTCCCTATTCAAATATGTTGCCCAGTAAACTAGGTTGAAAGTGCCAAACAGGACTGGGAATATAATTCGGGACATTTTGTCTATCTTGCTGATGCTGTTGTAAGTCTTTTTGTTTTCAGAAGTCTTGTCTTCAGGTTTTACTGAGGCTGAAGAGGCATTTGAGGTCCCTGAAGGGGTCTGCTCCTTTGGGACGTTTGGGGGGTGGGTCATCTTCCCAGTAGTATAAGCATTTGTTGATTTATTTAGTGTAAGTTCACGCTCCTTTTTCTGCAAAATATAAAAAATTTAAGGGCATGACGTTTGCAGGCAGCTGTCAGTTCACTTCTAAAGGTTCTGAAGGTTTATCTCTCAAAAGAGAGAGACAGAGACAGACATAAAGACAGAGACAGAGAGGGTATCAGCTTAGCTCTGGCAGAGGGCAGCCTTCCACAGACTTCTAAGCCTAGAACCCCACATGGCCAGTCTTGGATGTGAAATTCTAGAACAGGCAAAATATTTTATGGTAGAAAAATTCGGAATAGTGGTTATCTTTGTTGTGGTGGGGACGGGAATGAACTGGGAAGGGGCATGGTGACCTTTCTGGAGTGCTGGCAATGTTCTCTATCTTGATAGGGATTTGGGTTTACAGGTGAACATGTTCATCAAACCTCAGCAAAAGTACCCTTAACATTTGTGCATTTCATACTATGTAAATTTTGCTTCAAAAGAATCAAACAGTATACAAATATTGAGCTCTAGTTAGTGACATGCTTACTGAAGTATTAGTGGGAAATGTACTATTTACTTTGAAATACATCGAAAAATAAGATGTATTGACAGATGGATTGAGGATGGGTGGATGGATGAATGGATAGACAGATTTTAGGTAACATAGATAGATAGATAGATAAATGATAGATGGGTGGTGATGACACAAGCTCAGTAAAATGTTAATAGTAGACAGGTTTTCATTTTGTAGTTCTTCAACATTTCTGTATGTTTGAAAATTTGCATGATAGAATGTTGGGAAAAATTCTGTTCCTTTACCAAAGTAACATAATCTCATTAAATTAAATTTGGAAAACATAAGAATAATTAAAGAAGATATATCACTATCTGAAAAACATATCTGCATCCCATTGCTCATACCAACATTATTCACAATAGCAAAAATATGGTAACAATGTGTCTGCCAGTCGATGGTTAAACAAAATGTGGTGTGTGTGTGTGTGTGTGTGTGTGTATACACACAATAGAATACACATCGGAACACAATGGAATAGTATTCAGCCATAAAAAGGGAAGAAAATCCTGCCATTTACAACAGGGAAGGACCTTGAGAGCATTGTGCTAAGTGAAATAAGTCAGAGAAAGACAAATACCATATGATTTCACTTATATGTGGAATCCAAACAAAAAAACAAACAAAAAGCTGAACTCATAGACACAGAGAGCAGATTGGTGGTCACCAGAGGGCAGGGGGCAGGGAGCAAAATGGGTGAAGGTGGTCAAAAGGTAAAAACTTCCAGTTGTAAGATAAATAAGATTGGGAAATGTAATACACAGCCCGGTAACTATGGTTTTTTAAAAAAAGAAAGAAAATATATTAACCATTAAAAATATGTGGGAGGGAGCTTCAAGATGGCGGAAGACTAAGACCTGGAGATCACCTTACTCCCCACAAGTACATCAGAAATACGTCTACATGTAAAACAACTCCTACAGGACACCTACTGAATGCTGGCAGAAGACCTCAGACCTCCCAAAAGGCAAGAAACTCCCCACGTACCTGGGTAGGGCAAAAGAAAAAAGATAAAAACAGTGACAAAAGAATAGGGATGGGACCTGCACCAGTGGGAGGGAGCTGTGAAGGAGGAAAGGTTTCCACACACTAGGAAGCCCCTTCGCGGGCGGAGACTGCGGGTGGTGGAGGGGGGGAACTTCAGAGCCACGGAGGAGAGTGCAGCAACAGGGGTGCGGAGGGCAAAGCAGAGCAATTCCCGCACAGGCGATCGGTGCCGACCAGCACTCACCAGCCCGAGAGGCTTGTCTGCTCACCCGCCGGGGTGGGCGAGGGCTGGGAGCTGAGGCTCGGGCTTCAGTGGGAGCGCAGGGAGAGGACTGGCGGCGTGAACACAGCCTGAAGGGGTTAGTGCACCACGGCTAGCCGGGAGGAAGTCCGGGAAAAAGTCAGGACCAGCCAAAGAGGCAAGAGACTTTTTCTTGCCTCTGTATTTCCTGGTGTGTGAGGGGAGGGGATTAAGAGCACAGCTTAAAGGAGCTCAAGACGGATGCGAGCCGCAGCTATCAGCGCAGACCCCTGAGACGGGAATGAGATGCTAAGGCCGCTGCTGCCGCCACCAAGAAGCCTGTGTGCGAGCACAGGTCACTATCTACACCGCCCCTCCTGGGAGCCTGTGCAGCCCGCCACTGCCAGGGTCCCGTGATCCAGGGACAATTTCCCCAGCAGAACGCACGGCGCGCCTCAGGCTGTTGCAACGTCACGCCGGTCACTGCCACCGCAGGCTCGCCCCGCATCCGTGCCCCTCCCTCCCCCCGGCCTAAGTGAGCCAGAGCCCCCTAATTAGCTGCTCTTTTAACCCAGTCCTGTCTGGGCGGGGAACAGACACCCTCAGGCGACCAACACGCAGAGGTGGGGCAAATCCAAAGCTGAACCCCAGGAGCTGTGAGAACAAAGAAGAGAAAGGAAAATCTCTCCCAGCAGCCTCAGGAGCAGCGGATTATATCTCCACAATCAACCTGATGTGTGCTTCATCTGTGGAATACCTGAATACACAATGAATCATCCCAAATTGAGGAGGTGGACATTGGGAGCAAAAATGTATATATTTTTTTCCCTTTTTCTCTTTTTGTGAATGTGTCTGTGTATGCTTCTGTGTGTGATTATGTCCGTATAGCTTTGCTTTTACCATTTTTCCTAGGGCTCTGTCTGTCCGTTTTTTTTTTTTTAAGTATAGTTTTTAGCGCTTGTTATCATTGGTGGATTTGTTTTTTGGTTTGGTTGCTCTCTGCCTTCTTTCTTTCTTTTCTTAAATTACTTTTTAAAATGTTTTTAATACTTATTTTTTATTTTAATAACTTTTAAATTTCATTTTATTATATTTTATCTTCTTTCTTTCTTTCTTTTTTGTCTCCCTTTTATTATGAGCCATGTGGATGACAGGCTCCTGGTGCTCCAGCCAGACATCAGGGCTGTGCCTCTGAGGTGGGAGAGCCAAGTTCAAGACATTGGTCCACAAGAGACCTCCCAGCTCCACGTAATATCAAACGGCAAAAATCTCCCAGGGATCTCCATCTCAACACCAAGACCCAGCTCCACTCAACGACCAGCAAGCTACAGTGCTGGACACCCTACACCAAACACCTAGCAAGAAAGGAACACAACCCAATCCATTAGCAGAGAGGCCGCCTAAAATCATAATAAGGCCACAGACATGCCAAAACACACCACCAGTCATGGACCTGCCCACCAGAAAGACAAGATCCAGCCTCATCCACCAGAACACAGGCACTAGTCACCTCCACCCGGAAGCTTACACAAACCACTGAACCAACCTTAACCACTGGGGACAAACACCAAAAACAACAGGAACTATGAACCTGCAGCGTGCAAAAAGGAGACCCCAAACACAGTAAGTTAACCAAAATGAGAAGACAGAGAAACACAGCAAATGAAGGAGCAAGGCAAAAACCCACCAGACTTAACAAATTAAGAGGAAATAGGCAGGCTACCTGAAAAAGAATTCAGAATAATGATAGTAAAGATGATACAAAATCTTGGAAATAGAATGGAGAAAATACAAGAAATGTTTAACAAGAACCTAGAAGACCTAAAGAGCAAACAAACAGTGATAAACAACACAATAAAGGAAATTAAAAATTCTCTAGAAGGGATCAATAGCAGAATAACTGAGGCAGAAAAACGGATAAGTGGTAGATAAAATAGTGGAAATAACTACAGCAGAGCAGAATAAAGAAAAAAGAAGGAAAAGAATTGAGGACAGTCTCAGAGACCTCTGGGACAACATTAAACGCACCAATATTCTAATTGTAGGGGTCCCAGAAGAAGAAGAGAAAATGAAAGGGACTGAGAAAATATTTGAAGAGATTATAGTTGAAAACTTTCCTAATACGGGAACTGAAATAGTTAAAGACCAGGAAGCAAGGAGAGTCCCATACAGGAAAAATCAAAGGAGAAACATGCCAAGATACATATTAATCAAACTATCAAAAATTAAATACAAAGAAAAAATATTAAAAGCCAACAAGGGAAAAACAACAAATAACATCTAAGGGAATCCCCATAAGGTTAACAGCTGATCTTTCAGCAGAAACTCTGCAAGCCAGAAGGGAGTGGCAGGACATATTTACAGTAATGAAGGGGAAAAAGTCTACAACCAAGATTACTCTACCCAGCAAGGATCTCATTCAGATTTGACAGAGAAATTAAAACCTTTACAGACAAGCAAAAGCTAAAAGAATTCAGCACCACCAAGCTAACTTTACGACAAATGCTAAAGGAACTTCTCTAGGCAGGAAACACAAGAGAAGGAAAAGACCTACAATAACAAGCCCAAAACAACTAAGAAAATGGTAATAGGAACATACATATCGATAATTACCTTAAATGTAAATGGATTAAATGCTCCAACCAAAAGACATAGACTGGCTGAATGGATACAAAAACAAGACCCATATATATGCTGTCTACAAGAGACCCACATCAGGCCCAGGGACACATTCAGACTGAAAGTGAGGGGATGAAAAAAGATATTCCATTCAAATGGAAATCAAAAGAAAGCTGGAGTAGCCATTCTCATATCAGACAAAATAGACTTTAAAATAAAGGCTATTACAAGAGACAAAGAAGGACACTCCATAATGATCAAGGGATCGATCCAAGAAGAAGATATAACAATAGTAAATATTTATGCACCCAACATAGGAGCACCTCAGTACATAACGCAAATGCTAACAGCCATAAAAGGGGAAATCGACAGTAACGCATTCATAGTAGGGGACTTTAACACCCCACTTTCACCAATGGACAGATCATCCAAAATGAAAATAAATAAGGGAAACACAAACTCTAAATGATACATTAAACAAGATGGACTTAATTGATATTTATAGAACACTCCATCCAAAAACAACAGAATACACTTTCTTCTCAAGTGGTCATGGAACATTCTCCAGGATAGTACTTGTACTGGGTCACAAATCAAGCCTCAGTCAATTTAAGAAAACTGAAATCGTATCAATTATCT